CGTCTTGGTTAAGAAATAAAATAATTTTGAAAGTGAAAATATTTTTTATTAATCACTATGATTCGAGCTTGATATTATAGTATGCATATTCTATTTCTAAATTTCGATGATAAATCCAAAGAAGGTCACTCAAAAAATTTAACCATTTTTTTTTATTTCAATAAAACGTGATCGAAATATTTATTTTAAACCGAATTTCTGCACATATTGATAATTGAAGATTTGTAATGGATGATTTTAAATAAAAATTTGTCTATTCAATTTTAGCAATTTTAAATTTTTAAAGTTCAAAATTTATTTTATTATTTTATTTCAAATTTTCATACTTGTATCATTTCATACAGAAGATTTTTTTGTGTTTATTTGTTTTATTTTAAAGCATATACAATATTTCGGATTAAATAAAGCATATATTGTAGCAGTTATTGCACGTTTTTGTACATGCTTATCCCTTTATTGCATTATCTCATATATATTTCCCACAATTCTGCTTTTAAGCAAATAATTCCTTTCAAATCCAATAAAGCTTAACCCTTTATTTCAATATTATTTTGTTCTTTAGCACTAATATTTGTATAGAAGAGTTTTAAATAGAAGCGATACTTAAATAGATTCTTTTAACTTTGTTTTTTCATTTTTTAAGCTAGTCTTTTCGAATAAAGTTCATTAAACCTCTTTACAAAATTATAGTAAATCGTTCAAAAGTCGAATGCCAAAAATGATTTTGAAATGCAACAAGTTCCAATATAAGAAGAAAAATCAAATATTAACGTATTAATCAAATAGATTGTTTAAGAACTCAATCTATAGGAGGCATTAGTAATGAAAGTTTCGTTATATAAAATATATTACATATAATTACAATTGCATATATTTTTAAACTTATTAAATATAATAAGCTATTCGATTAAGTTAGTATTAATTTTTTATTTAATTTTTAATTGACTATTTCATTTTAAGAGTATAAAGTTCGAAAAGCTGCATAGTTGATAAAACAAAATAATGGTAACACTATAAATTTTTAAAATTACTTAATTTATGGTAAAAATTTTCTCAAATATTTTGCAATATCACCATAATCACAAAAATATTTATACTTTATATGTAATTATTTTATAAAAAAAAAATTACCCTGCATATTAAATTTAACAAAAATATATTTGAATTATTAAAAAAAAAATTTTTCTTTAAATCTTAAGAATAAATTTTTGTAAAATTTCTTTATTTTTTTTTTATTTGGATTTTATAATTTTTTATTTAAACTTTCTATATTTATTAATTAAAAAAATATTCTAAATTAATAAAAGAAAATTCCATTATGCCTTCTTAATCTTCTAGTTGCATCAGCAACAATTGCTGATGGTAATATTGTTTGTGATGCAGATGATGATGATGTTGATATATCATAATCATTTTCTTCATAATATAAATCTTCATCATATTCTTCATCAATATGATTATTTAACATTTCAATATCTTCGTTTGATGTTGTGGCTATTTTTAGAAATACTGCTTCAATTGTACATAACATAAATAGCATCATAAATATTGTTAAATTTGTTGGTATCGGATAATATGAAATTTTTTGCCAATCAATTGAATTTTGATAATCAAAAATATTATATAGAAATGACATCATTTTTTTTTAATTTACTAATTTTGATTTTATTATATTCTTAATAATTAGTTTGTATTAGCAGGTATATATATATGTACATATGTATGAAAAATATATTTATTTTTATTTAATTTAATTAAATTTGTAATTAATTAATTGAGAGCTTTTTTCTAATTTTGATATTTTATTAAAATAAGTTTTTTTTCGTGTTATTTTAAAATTCTTATACAAAAGTATAAGAAAATTTCAAATTTTTTAAACAATTTTATTTGTAATTTATTTTACAATTCTTTTGTTTAAATTTTTTAATAATTCGTGTTCAAATTATTTGTATTTTTATTTTCGATAAAACAGACAACAATTTTTTTCTTCTATAAACTTAATTTAAATTTTCATTGTTAAAAATTTTTCTATTATTTTCCAATAAATCACGCATACCCACAAAAATTTTTTTTGCATGAATTTAAACACAAAAAACTTGATTATAAATTTTAATAATATTATGAAAAAAAATTATCAACTAATTTAAATTTTTTATTTAATTTTTTTTTTAGTTTTTGCTTTTCTCTGTTTTTTTTTTATTTCAATTATTAGACAACTTGCTATTTACATAGTTTATTTTTATTTATTTACTGCTTTTGATTTGTTGTTGAATTTTCAAAACAAAAATCTAATGTTTCGCAACACTGTTATTATACGTGGTGTTAATGTTGCCAAAACTATTTCTTCTCATTTCTTGTCATAACTATTGAGAATGTATTCATAATATTGTTGCTCAATAAAAGTATATTGTTTTAATTTAATAGAATTAAGCTTTAAACGATCTTTATTTTCACATTTAATCAATTTTTAATATTCTTTTTAAAAATATTTGTAGTTATGTTTATATTAAATCACTTAAACCGTACAAAAACGTAAGAATACTCTTATTAACGGAGTAATAAAAAATAAAATAAAACAGGCGGTATTTATTGGTTACGACGGTGTACGCGTCTAGTCTCTACAATTCAAGAGTTGCGATTAAATTAAAAATTTTAAAAAAAGATCGCAATAAAAACAAGGCAAATTCTTTTTAAGCTTTTCTCATAAGAAAAAAAAAGCAAAATAAAAAAAAATATGAGTGTTCCTATAGAGTATAGGCGTATAGGTTAGATAGGTGAGATAGGTAAATTCAGTTTGGGCAATGGTATATAAGAAAATATGGTAAAACAAAAAACTAGGTAAAAAATATATAAAAATAAAATAAAAAGGAAAATATATGAGTTAAAAAAGAAACTGAAAGTTAAAAACAAAAAAAAAATTGAAAATAAAACGTGAATAATTTTTTCAAAGCTTTTACATAGATTTTATAAAATAAATATAATACATATTAAGTATGTAAGTATGTAAGTATGTCAAAATTGTGAACATGTAACTACACCTATACACTCTCACTTCTGTTTATAAGTGAGACGAATTACATGCATTCGTGTAATGCACTTTTTTTTCTAGATTATAAATTGGACATAATGAAGTAGATAAAAATAAATATTATTGGAAATTGTTTTTAAATATTTAGAAAGAAATTATATAGCTATAAGTTACTTGTTCATATATGCGATATGTAGTATATATGTTATATGTACATATATGTACATATATTATAAATAATTTTTAAGATTCCAACATGTGCTTGCAACAGTGACATAACTATAAAATTTGCACAATTGTCTTAATTTGCGAAATTTAAAGTTTTTGCAATAAATATATTTTTCTCACTGTAGCATATTTTATTATTTAAAAATTTTATATTGTAAATGACAATTTTGAAGCTACAAAAATGATGTTTCTGCGCAAAAAAAAAATATTTTAATTACTTAGTTCTGTATACGTCACATTTATCAAATATTACATTTTTTGAGTTATGTCACTGCTGTAGCAAACGAACGATATACAAAATGATATACAAAATTTGCACGTTTTTTGCAGATATTAGTAAAATTGCAAAATATGTATACATTCATAAATTTTATAAAGAAAAAATTGAAATTCGAAATTTTTATTCATTGCACAAATTTCAAAATAATTTTAGCTTTTTCGATTTCAAATGTAGATCTACTATAATATTTTACTCTTTTAGATTTAAAATTCATAATAGCGTTATATTCACTGATCTTTATTCTTCGTGTATCTTAAAAAAATGTCAAGCTAGTTTTTCGGGTCTAATGTAAATGAAAATAACATGGCAGCTTTTTGGATTTATTCAGTTTGTAGGAATAAAATCTCTCAATGATTTAGAAGTAAGAACTGCAAAAGATGATACAAATCAATATAAAGAGGATAAGTCTGGGTTTTGCGAATTTTTAATTGTAAGTGTGTTAATCATAGATTGCAAAAATTTATTGTTTATGCCGCAATAAACTATTAAAAAAAAGTGGAAACTGTTAATAGTAAATAAGATCAATTGTAGTTGAAAAGTCAACACAAAATTATTAATTGAAAATTTTGTATACCTAGTGTTTCAGTATTTTAATTATAAATAATTTATGCTTTAATTTATGCACGTATCGCTATATGTAATAAAAAAGGTTATTAAAATTTCAAAACATCCGAAATAAAATTTTTTAATCTAGTTTTTAAATGTAAAATAACTTGTTTGTCATATCTTGGACTTTCTGATGCAATTTTACATAAGAACCTATGTAGATATAAGGCAAAATTGAGTAGAACTTGAATTAATACCTACATTATTTTTTATTTCTTTAAATTAAATTACATTTCTTCAAGAAAATAAGGTATTGTTGAATTAAATTTTGGTTTAAAAATATCATTCAACTATAATTTACTAAATAATCCTGTTTTTTTTTTTTTATTGTGTTAAAACAATTTGAAAATTAATTTTAAAGTTTCTCAAACATAATAAAAATTTAATAACAGGTGATTTTTTAATCGCTTGGTTTTTAAAATTTAAAAAAACATCACAGAAAACTTTGGAAATTATGATGTGATTTTTATATGAAGCGATGAATCCATCGTTCCTATTTACTTTTTAAATATAATGTTAATTAAATGAATTTTAAAAATTTCATTTCAGATTTTCCATACAAATGATCTAATTTTGAGCAATTTTTCGCTCATTTTGGTCGGAATATCGAAAATTACACGGTCGATATAGTTTTACAAATTTCCGGAACTTGAAGCTCTGTGGTTGGTTTCAACGAGAAATTTCAAGTTTTCTCAAATAATATGCATGATGATTTCATATGTTTGTTTGGATCATGATCGTTCGTATGTTTGCTTGGACTTCCACCGTGTAACGACAAACCAAATGGAGTTGATTTGCAGTATTGATAAGCAGTAGCGTATGAACTTTCAAAAATGAAACCACGAAAAACGAAATAGAAAAAAATCACCAGTTATAAGTGAATAATAACTTTTTGTATTTTTAATTTTTTTAATCCACATTTCATATTTAATGACCCGCATAATGATACTTCATGTACGTGTTTTAAATATAAATTACATAAAAGGCAAGAAAGCTACATAAAATAAATGCTTCAATAGTAAATATTTTAAATTTTAATTCAAAAGTGCAATAAAAATCTAAGTGTATCTGCACACAGTTTTCACATACAAAATCCTGAATTTTATAATCTATTCATTTTAAAAATTAATACAATAATTTATGTAAAACACATTTTTAAACAGTTGACCTAAAATTAACAGAAATGAATGAGATTATTTTATAAATATTGTGTAACGTTGTTCAACTAAAAAATACATAATTATTCAGGAAAATAATTGTACTGCTTCAAGCTATATTAAAAGTCAAACTGCTTCGAATTTGTGTGAAGGCAAATTATGAGTAACTTATGGAATTTATTAATGATACATGCGTTGTGTATGTTGCGTGAAGACATAAGTGTACATGGTAAGTTTTTAATCTATATAAGTTTTAGATATCATGAGCATGATTTTATGGTGATAATATCAGTAAACTAATACCAGTTTCAATAAGGCAGTTGCTAAATAAATCAAGTTTAGTGCGTGTATTTTTAATTTTTATTATTTTTTTGTGATTTCTTGTAATTACTTTTGTGTTTAAATTTGTAATGCTGGGCTTTTAAACAAATATTGTCTAAGTCGAAAAAATTTTATTTTTTTTAAATAATTACCATTTTATATTTTATATTATAATTATTTTTAAGTAATTAATTTAATAAAATAATTGACATACTGTATAGTTTTAAGTTTTAAATTTTGTTTATAACTTGAATATCAGAATTAGTAAAAAAACTTATAGGCAATCAATATATTTCGATGTTCTAATGGAAGAATCAACAGTTTATTCAATTTCAGTGATAATACAAACTACAAAAATGCAATTATAGTGTCATTGGCCCTTATTTTACAGCTTTTAATACAAAAAAACATTCCGAAAAACAGATGAAAAGATAGAGAAAAGAAAAAAAAATTTTCATTATTGCTAGCGACCGGCAAATGAATCATTTTAAAATGATAAGCTAGCTCTACACTAAAAACATAATAAAAAAATCATTTTATTGAATTATCAGTAAAAATGAGAAGAAATGCTTGAAGTTTCTTAAACAAACGACCTTGCTATATCGCGTGGTTTATAATTTATTATAAAAATAAGTAGAAAATTGAAAGAAAAATGTGGAAAGATGAAGAGAAAATAATTTAAAAAAAAAAGATTTTTTTGTTTGTAAACAAAAAAAAAATCTTTAACAAAAACCATGAATGTAAACGGACGTAACATGCTCAAAAGAGTAAGAGAGCGAAATAAAGAAAGAGAGAAGAATAAAAAAGCATTATTCTACCTAGATAAGGGTTGATATAAAATTTGAAATTCGATACTCAAAAAAAAGAAAAAAATTTTCAATTCTAAAAGTTTTAAAAAAAATTATTCTGAAGTGATCAGATTTTTGCAAAGTAAAGTGAAAATGATTTCTGTCTGCGCCACTTAAGCCAACAAGCCATTTTCTTTCATTCATACGAAAATGAAATACAAACGAATCGCGACGTCATAATAAATCTAAAGTGCAATCCATAGTACAATAGACTTTAATATTACATTTAATTTTATTCTATTTTAATATAAAATAAAAATTTAATGACTCATTATTAAAAACGAGCAGTGTACAGAAAATACCGGAATCGAAGAATTTTTAAGATTTTGTTTACTAAAATGTTCAAATTTTAAACAACATTTTTTTAAAAGTAAGGTCACAGAACTTAAAAAACAATCAAATCAGATTATAATTTTGACCTTTGATACTTAAATAGATATTGGATGGAACAAACAACAAAGAAAAACAAAAAAGAAATAGAAAAATTTATGATTTTGTTATTAATATTGTCTAGAAGTTTTCTGGTTATGATACAGAGAACGACCTTGAAAATAAACTAATACTGTAAATATTATATAAGTGACATGGAGGAGTTAAAACCACATGTACAAATCAAATGAATCATTATAGATTGTAATTAATGTCAACACATACATATATACCTATTCATTTTACTTTAGAATGTCGGTACTTTTATTTGAGTAATTAAGTACTTACGTGTAAGGTACTGTGTTACATATAGGTGAGAGAGTGGTTTTAAATTTAGCTATAACTATTCAACAACGTTCAGGTTCAATTTCATGGAATTAAACATGTTAAACTCCTTTGAAGTGCTCTAAGGCAACTCAAAACTATCCTGGATGTAAACTGAATCGACTGGAGTCCCAATTTATACCGCCATCCAGTTCTCCAAAAAGGCATACATGATATGATTCTTGTATTTCTGAAACAGATCTCTATTGCATGTATTTCGGTATGGAGTACCTTATATTATGAGTCTAGGCTCGCAAATAAGCTTGTGTCCGAGCGACACTATATATACTCTGGAATCAACACTCGATTCCGTCTTAAACCCGTTCAAGTACCACACGCTTGAACTCGACTCAATTACGGGGTCACCCAGATCACACATCCATCGTTTTCCGATTAGGAGGTGTACTTGCGAATGTAATTGTACCGTTGCAGACAGGGATCCAACATAGTTATTTCCAGGATCGGGTCACCCTTAATGAAGTCTGTGTACGACTTCATTGAGGTACTGTCAATGAATCAGGTCACTCTCGTCTTCGGCAGAAAAAAATCAGTAAGTCATTAGCCCAGTTTCCTTCATTATGTTAGTGCTGCAGTTGCAATCCAATCTTCACTTTCAGCTTAGCAGTAGGAGCCGTTCAAATTTTCGCGGTCATTCCCCGACAGACTAATGCGTGGACTCCTAGAAATTCTTTATAAACCGAACACTATTTGCCGTTTATTTTGTAATAAAACAATCTATCGAAATTAATGTGAATTATTCCTCTCAGCAACTGCTTTGCATTTAAAATTTAGTAGTTGAAGGGGTAGTATATGCCTAAGGAGTTTAAGTCAAGTCAGATTAAGAGAGTTGAATTTAAAACATCACTCAATTTGTGATTCACTTTCATTTCCAATTCTTTGTTTATTAAACAAGCATAGCGAAATTTTAATTAATTTAACCTTCAACATTATTTTACTAAATTATACTTGTTCCGAATAAAAAAAAAATCTTTATTACATTTAATATAAGGGAAAAAATTTTAATATTCATTAAAATAAAATTTTACAAAACATTTTATTTGCCAATAAAATAAAATTATACACGAGTATGACATTTATGCAGTTATTTAAAGCAAACAATTGAATTAAAAAAAAATAAACCTCAAATGGTGGCCTTTAAAGTTGATGTTGTAAGTCTTAATGGTCAAAAATTTTTAATAAATTTTTTTAAAGAACAAGTAGTAAAGAAAAGAAAAACTACAACGAATAAAATGAGCTTTCCAAAATATTTTTTTTATTTTTTTACTAGAAAAAGCTCAAATTAAAAAAATTAAATGAAGTTTTGCCTAAAGTTATGCATTTTTCTATTACTATTGTTCAATGCATTTTTCTTAATATGTAGGTGACACTAATCATACCTTGGTTTTATAATAATTATGTAATCACTCATACTGCGTTACGCATTATGAAATTGACATATGTTTATAATTTGTTGAATTGATTAAGTGTAATCAATCAAAATTGTAAACTAAGTGACTTGGCGAGGAATTGTAAAAGAAATTATGTAAAGGTTTTTCGTCTGAGTTTTTTATATCATGTTCGTTGTTAAAATTAACAGTTCCTTGTTAGGACAGTTCCTTGTTAAAATTAAAATTAAGACCATATTCCTTAATAAGCATAAAATTTTTTTCATAATTAATTGTTATTATGAATATTTTGTCACAGTTTCTAAATTTATAAGCTCATTTTTTAAACTTAAATCAAATGATGAATTTATTGTAAATAATAATAAAAAATTTTGGGTCTTACCAAGAAAAACTTGTCCGTCCATAATCTAAATTCATTGACAATTTCATAGAATTTTAATAATTAAATTTTAAACAACTTTTCATTTAATTGAAATTTCAAACAATTTTTTTTATTACTTGTAATTTAAAAAATTATTTTTACACTCTTCATTAACTTTTACTTTTCAAGGGCGTAAAACTATACGCAGTACACTTTGCATTAGAATATTTTTTTTAAACAAATTGTTATAAATTTAACACTTTAAACAAAAAAATTCAATGAAATTAATATATAAGAAAAATAAAAAAAAAAAACAATTACAATTTTTATATTGGATTGTTATTATTGAAACCGAGCGCGTTCACGAGCCATGAAAATTAGAACTGAAACTGAAGATTCAAAAAATTCTATCACTCATTGATCGGAAGTTCTGAACTTATCGAAATATATTTATGTACAAATACATAAGTATGTACTCATATCTCTCTTGGTTAGAACATGTTATCGTCTATTTAATTCATAATAAGCTTCTGAACCCAAATATGAAAATTAATAGTTTTATACTTTAATATCATTGCATATTGAATATAAAAAGAGTGTAACTGAAAATTTAAAATGTCGATTACATACATTTATATAAAACAAAAAATGCAATAATAAAAAAAAATAATATATATATATATATTTAATTTACATGTGACATGCTAAAAATTACGGCATGAAAGAGAACGACAAACAATTTATTCTATAATATGGCAATGTACAATTAAAAACGGGCGAAAGAAGAAACAAAAATATGCGTACTACATTTTATAGAACTTCCGTTCTGATGTTCTTTACAGTTGAAAGAACACCATTTTAGTAACTGTTTTTCATTAAATATGTAAACAAAATATGTTAAAAAAGAATCATACAGTTGAAACTCGATTGAACTACAACACGTTTTTTTCCATAATGGACGATTTTATTTGACATTTGACATTAAGCATATGGTAATGTCAAAATGAAGTAATTTTGTTGTAAATTTTGTCAAAACTTCCATTACAAAAAAAATATTGTATTCAAATTATAATTCGAAGAAGGTTATATTCGATTTTGAATGAAAACATATCTAAAAATGAACTGACAAACGGATTAATTTTGACTAGGTGCGATTAGACAACGAAAATTTTCGGCTGGAATATGTTTTAGTTTTCATATGTATGTATATCGCGTTCTGAGGACGTTAGAATTATGAAGAGCTCCTATGTGGATATTGACGAACTGGTGACCATTTATGGAGGACATTGATTGTTAGAGGAACATCAGTCTGAGCGGTAAGTTTTGTAGATTGTTCATCTACTGTAATTTAAACATAAACAAATAATATCCGTGCATGTATTGTATATACATGTAATTTTTTGGTATTATATAAGTATAGGTAGCTAATAATGGTAATTTCCAATTGCTTTAAAGTTTTATATTATAAATGTAGTTGATTTTAATACTTATATAGAAAAGTACATTACTTAAATTAAAATATTTTTTCTTCATTTCAGCGTTACCCGATTATATACCTGTAAATTTTGCACCCCTTTTTTCATATATTCAAATTGGAAAAGTATTGTGTACTAGCCGCTCAATTATTAATGCTTAATAAGAACTTTTCAGACTACAGAAACGATAAACAAGCAATCGAACATGTTTCAGAAATTTTCGCAGAAAACTTAAATTAATTTGTGTGCTTGAATTCTAACTGCAGTGCATTATGGATTTAATTTCTTTTCAAGTGAGACATAAAATTGTGGAATTGATTTTAGTCTGAAATATCTGAATTGAATATCAAAAGGAAATGTGGGAATTTTTTTATTAAACAAAAATGATTAACAAATTCTCACAATATGCTGTTATACAATATTTTTCATTTTCACCTTGCAGATGCACTCTTACATAGATAAGTATTTCAGCGAATACCTATTAGAATTGCTAAGCTACTTTCTACAAAAATTTTTGTTGTGTTCATGATACCTCCAAGGTGCAAATATGTGAGTGCACATTTCTATGAAGAATTTGAATGTATTTATGGAAGGAAAATAGAAGTGGAAGTGGAATGTTATGGAAGAAAATGATTACTATAACGTTTGTCGAAGTTGCATATATTTAAGGGAATATCCGGAAAAAAGTACATCCATAAATAACCGCCCGTATATTTTTTCTCAAGATAATTGTTCAAAAGTATTCATTGATGATATTGCGCAGCAGTTTAACTCAAGATAATTGTTCAAATTAGTTACAAATAATTGACACGAAAAGTAAACTACAATTTCGAGAAACTATTTAAGTTTAAATAAATGCTGATTAATATTTATACAGGATAGCGTACCCTGTTAACAATCTCTGACTTGTGAATTTAACTAAAACTAACTAGGACAATTTTGCTTAATAACCACAAAATTATCAATCAAAGCTTCTTCGCAAATTAGTAAGAGTGTTGTCATAAAACGCTATAGTAGAAAACTAATTTGAAGCTACCGTTTTTTTATTATTGTTGATTTTTTTCTGTTCTATTGTACTTCCTTCCTCAATTACAATGATAATTTGTAATTTTTTAATTTTGTATGTTACGGCGATTATATTAATGTGTTCACGTAAACTGAGGTCATTAACAAGATTAATTTAAATGATTCAAGTACTATCGATTTTCAGTCTGAACACGTAACTCTTATTGCGTATATGGCACGTGCTTTAATAGTATAAACATATTTGTTTTTAAATTCAAGAGGCGTTTTACTTAATAAATTTTACAAAATTAAATAATTAAAAAAATAAAATAATTTAAAATTATCACATTAGTTGAACTGTTATTAATGTGTTATTAACTTATAAATTACCTGTAAAACTGGGTTTTTGTTAATAAATATGTTCCACCAATTATACCAAATATTGCTGCTGCTCCAATTATAATTGTGGAACGTCCAGGTGAATACTCAAACATATTTAGTTAAATAATTTTATATTGTTGCATAATTCTAAATTATAACTTTAATTTTCTCTAATTAAATTTTTTAATTTTAAGAAAAATAGAAGAAAATTTTTTTGAAAAAGCAAAATTATGGATAGAAAGTGTGAATTTTTCGATATTAAGTATTTTATTCGAAATAATTTTTTGATTAAATTTATAAGAATTTAGTTTATATATTAACCCTCTAATGCCCAATTTTTTTTTTGTTGAAATCTTGTATTATTATTCAGGCAAGGCAAATAAAAACAGGCAAGGCAAATAAAAGATGTTGTTTTTTTGATATTTAAACATTTACAATTGCTCTGAACATGTGTTCCATTATGCGAATAAAAGGAATATTTTACAAATAACTTTGACGTTTTACATTATATCCCACATTTAAATTAAATCAATTAATTCTAATTGTTCTAATATAATTTAAAAAAAAAATTTTAGATCTAATAAAATTTTAAATTTATCACTCATATTACGCCATTTTAAATCATACTTTGGAAATAATTGTCGTGTCTCAGGGTGAAGTTTACAATGTCATCTCAAGGTAGCCAATAATCTAATTAACTTTTTATGTAACTCAAAAACGTAAAGTGTTTGTAAAAATGTGAATTAATACAATTTCAAATTTTATAGAATATATGTAAGTAAAAAAAAGATAATATAGACTTAGATTTTATCTAGGCTACCATGCAAATCATTCACAAATATTAGGTGAATGTTCATGACCTATATATACATTTATTTAGAATATTGATTTGATTTTCATTAAAATATTCTAATTCTGGCAACTCTTCTTTTCTTCTTTAGAGTAGCTAACTAATATACGAGTACAAGAGATCTCTTATAATTTCTTGACAAAAATTTTGTTTTTGTTCTTACATATATTTTTTTTTTGTTTTGAATCGTAAAACAGGTCATTGATAATAAATTTGCTCATCGTTTTGAATTCATCAATCATCATTATAATTAATTTATTAATGATAACAGTTATTTTGCTTTATTTATTATTTTTTATTAGCAAATTTTTAAATGTAATTAAGAAAATGATTTTTGTAATACGTTTTGAATGTCTGGTGTTATTTTTAGAAAAAATTAAAATTTTTAAAGCTATAACATTTCTGATAAAAATTTAGAACTTTAAGAATGCTACGATTTTCGAATGTGTTTCTTTTCCATTAAAGATTTATCGAACATGCTTTGTTATTACAAATATAGATCTAAGTTAGAACTGAATTTTCGGAAATCCCCAAGGTAATGTTCACTCTTCTTAGACAAGGTATAATAATGAAATTCATTGAGAGCGAGAATTCTTAAGGAATAACGTTTTCAATACATGAAAGGAAAGTTGCTTATTCAATTCTCTTAAACATATTCATGTTGTTTTTCTGCAATCCAGCCTCATAAAAATATTTTGGAAGACTAAACAAAATTAAATAATTCCACTTTCAGTTTTTATTTACTTTTCTTATTGAATTCAATAACAATATGAAGTCTGAGAGCAAATTTAATTGTCAAATTTTATTACTTTTAATCGCTTTTATTTTAATTATTTTAATTTCATATCCATTTTTTAATCAAAGATATGAAACTGTACAAAAAAATTTAAAATTTAGAAATCATTTTTCAAATTTTTTACATAAATTCAATAAAAATTATAAAGAAAATGAAACTGAGTATAAAGAGCGCTTTGAAAATTTTAAGGTTTCTAAAATTTTAAACTTGTTAAATTCCTAGATTTCATTTTTTAAACTTTTTAATTATTTTGAAATTTTTAAATTATTTTTAGGCAACATTATCATTTATTAATGAAGCAAACTCAGCTAAGCGTTATGGTGAAACTGTCCGATTTGGTCTTACAAAATTTTCTGATTTGACTGATGATGAATTCAAAAATAAATATTTATTAGATGACAAAACAACAGCTGGAAAATATAGAATGGATCCAATTGATTTAATACAAAAGTTAATTAATGACAAAGAATACCTAAAATATGAATTACCAAAAAATTTACCATTAAAAATTGATTGGAGAGAAAAAGGTGTTATAAGTGATGTACGTAATCAAGGTCATTGTGGTTCATGTTATGCACAAAGTGTTATCGGTACAATTGAATCATTAATTACATTAAATTATAATTTATCGAAACCATTGGAACTGAGTGTTCAACAGATGATTGATTGTGGTGGTAATTTTAATCGTGGATGTTTAGGTGGTGATACATGTGATCTTTTAAAATGGCTGAAAACAGAAAAAATTCAAATTTTTCCAAGAAAATTTTATCCGGAATCAGAAATTAGTAGTACATCAAATAATGAAATTAGAAAATGTAAAAATATTACATTACCAGATTATGTTAAAACTGGAAAAGTCTTACAATATACATGTTTAGAGTAAGTATTATTCATCCGGTATTAATTTTTGTTTAATAGAGTAAATTAACTGCAAAAATTATAATTGTTAACGAAAGTTACTATACAAATGAATAACATTGGTCGCAAATGATTTTCCTTAGTTTTATCTTATTCCGTGGAATCACATAAACTGATTCTTTTAAATTTAGTATAACTTAGTTAACCATACCGAAAATTCTACAATAAATTTGAATTATATTGTTGCTTGTAGTTATACATTAATAATTTTGAACTCATATTTTCTGCCGTGACTCAATTCAGCTTTTAAAATTTTATTTCGTTTTTTTGTGCACTTGTATACATAATTTAAAGTTTTTATATTTTATTTTTATATTTTTAGTTTTACTGGCTATGAATATGAAATAATAAATATATTAGCACATAAAGGACCACTTGCAGCATCAGTTAATGGTTTATTGTGGAAAAATTATCTTGGTGGAATAATTAAATATCATTGTAATGGACCCTCAAATCATGCCATTGAAATTGTTGGTTACGATTTATCACCACCAGATCCATATTATATTGTTAGGAATTCATGGGGTATAGAATTTGGTAATTCTGGTTATGCAAAAATTGCATTTGGTCAAAATGTATGTAATATAGCATCTGAAATATCAACTGTGGAAGTGGAATGGAGTTGAAATGAAAATTTAATTAAAGAAAATTACTCTGCTATTTAGATTTGAATATAAATTTAAAAAATCTTTTGTAATTATGTTTATGTAGAACCGTAAATTTATACAAATTAGTGTATATATGTATAAATGAGTATATTATTATTAAGTTGATGTAAATTGAATTAAGAAGACTGAATTTGGTTTTTTTTTTTTGTTTTTGGAATTTCTAAATTTTATTTTGCGAAATAATTAGAAATATTTTTGTTATTTAGTTTTTTATATATAATATATGCTAGATAAGTATAATGTTGCTAACTAAGAAATAATTATTAAATTGTCAAAATTTATTAAAGCGTATAAAATTTAGTGGCTTATTTGAAAAATATTCATTTAAATAGCCCAGTTTATTGTAAAAAAAATTTTAGTAGCATTAAAATTCTAAAAAGAAAATTGTATTGATATTTAGAATTATTTTTAATTTTTATTTTTGTTTACTACTGCCGGAAATAAAATTATGTTTGAATCAGTTTTATTTAAGCCAATTATGTAATATTTTGTTATTATTTTATAAAAATTTTTAATAATCTTATTTATATCGCTGATTTTTAAGAATTTAAGATTACAATAATTATTCATAATTTAATTTAACACTTCAGCAAATACAAGATGAGCTCGAAATAACAATTAAATTTAATTTTGATTGCAAATCTAGTATTTAATAGCAATTCATTTTATTCGGGATTTAAATTCACCCCAGTAATATATTAGAGATTTAAAAGGTACTTTAAGTGCAAAATTCATGCACTTTAGTCTGCGAAATTTTAACAATTTCAAATAAATAAAAAAATTTCCCATAATTGATAATTTTTTAATATTAAAAAAAGAAAATTCAATGTGTTTTCAAATGATTCATAAAAATATTTTGTTATCAACTATCAACATTTTATTGTTTTTATTATGTCTATTATATTAAAAGTTCAATTTATTAAACAAAGTTCTTAAAGTATCAAAAATTTATTTAGTTCATTGAGAAATGGAAAGTACTCGTAATTAAAATAATATCAGTTTGAGATAGCAAAATTTAATCACGTGTTTTGACAAACGATAAAATGATTATAAATGATAAAGTTATTATCCGATGTACTTGAATTAATCAAATACGATTAAAATTGTATACTTCAAAATATAAATTGAATTGTTTTAGTAAAGTAATTGATTCTTTTGAATTATTTTCAATATTTAAAAGTAGTAACAATAACAAGAACAATTATAACCAAAGTTGAATTTGTTATTTCTTAATTTTATCAAATTTTTTGTGGTTAAAATTGCGTTTCCCAAAATTTTATGAATGAAAATATTTATGAAAAGCGACAAACTTTTAAATTGCTCCAATATTGAAAATAAAAGGAGCCTTATGGTATTTTTGCTTTGATTCTATTTAATCAGACTTAATTTTTACAAATATTAATGCAGCTTTAATCTAGTTTTAGTTAAATATTAAATCATAGGCTTACACATAGATCACTTAAAATAAACAAAAAAAAATATTACATAACAATCGTAAAAATTCACACTTCCCAACTCACATATTTTTAGACTAATTTGAATATATTTCAGTAAAATTAATTTTTACTTTCTTTTTTATTTGTGTTTTCTTTTAAATTTAGCACTTTTTATTGCTATCTTTATTTTGCATTAGTAATTTTATTTATGTATGAAACAAAATTTGAATTTTTTCCTCTATTTTTGTATATTAATACTTAAAGTTTTTGATATATGCAAAGGGAGTTTTTGCTTATTTTATTTTCTTTTGTTATTTAATTTAATAAATAATAAATTAAACTAATTTAAAATGAATTAAATTAGAAATTTATATAATCCCATTTTTTTTCTGAGAATATTACATTAAAATCACTGAAAATTACAATTAAATTTCGTTGTAATCACAAAAATTACAACGTAAATTGTAATCAGCTGAAATGTTATCAGTTTTTTTTTGCGTATATGCACTACTAAATTAAACTCCTTTTAGTAACTTGTTTTTTTTTATGTATTTGCAATATATTTTTTTTCGATGTTAGTAACTTGATTTAAAAATTTTAACTGAATTCTTATTAAAAATCTTACGTAAAATAAAAAGTAATATATACTCGTACAAATATCAATTTTAACTGTTAATTATATGTTTACTTATTTATTTGTTAACTGTTCTACAATATTTTTTTTCTCTTTTTAATATGATTTCTTATTCTAAAATAATTTCTTATCTTTAAGTTATTATTATAATTTTTTTTAACTATTCTTAAAATTATAGATATGAAGTTTATTTCAATAAAAATAAAAATATTATAATATGTTTGTGTAGAAATTAGAAAGCAAAAACAAGAAAAAAAGAGTTGAAACGCGATTACGTACAGTGCGGTTATACAGTTTTCTCTGTTTAGTGTCTGCTCTCTATAGCTCATTTAATTGTTATTTTGGAGTAAAGCTTTTGATTACTTAACCCGCAACTCTGTAACTAAACACAAATTAACTTAAAATTTGACGTATTTTTATCATACGTAACAGACTTTTATTATTAACTGATTATAATTTTTCTTTAGATTAATATTAAATAATGAGCGTAGTAAATTTTTTGTCTCTTTCTATTCTTCTTCTATTTTATTATTATTGTTATTAAAAATGCTAATAAAATTTTTAAATAATATGAGAGTAACCATTAACAAATTAACAATCTTAATCTAATTAATAAAATAACATGAATTTTTTTATATTTTTTATTTAAATTCTGAATTTTCCAAAATTGTTCTGAATTTTTAGTGTTTTTTTTATTATTATTTTTTAATAAATTTTTTTTAAAGATAAAAAATTAATTGATTTTTCTTTTTTTTTTTTTTTATTTATTTTAAATTAAATTTTTTTTCTTTCCCTATTTTTTTTTTTATTGATTTTCCGGTATGTTATTCAGAAAAAATTTAACACGAAAAAAAAACATAAAAAAAAAAGGAAAAACAAGCAGAAAAGTGACAAAATAAAAAAATGTTCTCGCTTGTAAGCGTACTGTGCGTCTGGCTTGCTTAGTTATTTATGGTTATTTTTTTTGTTTTTCTTTCATTCATTTTTTCATTTTCTTTATATGCAAATATTAAACGACAGATACGGAAATCGGCTTTAACGAAGAAATAACGAAAAAGGTTAAAACCAAAATGGGAATCAAAAGAAAAAAATTATAAAATGCAAGTATTGCGTTAACAGGCTGTTACTAATCGATTTTAGGGAATGCAAGAATGCATATATAAGAAATGGACTATAGAACAATCAACTTTAGGATATTTGCCTTGTACTGTCCGAACTTTTGAAGTAAAAGTTAAAGGGACAAAATTGCTATGTTATCAAAATTTTAGAAAATAAGCATAGTCACAAAATAGATTGAAAATGATAAACGTCAAACTTAATTCTTAAACGTCATTTAATTCTTTTCATTTTAATTTACAATGACATGACAATCGTTTTATAATTATATTGCTGACATACCATACCATTAAGGCATTGTATTAAAACAAAAATAAATATGTGAAAAAGGTAGTATTTTGAAAAGCAATTATCATTTGCAAATAATGAAAAAGTAGCAACTCCGAAAATTAAATAGCACTTTAAATTTAAATGGTAGCAAAAAATTTAACTTTTGCTACTAAAGTAGCATCGTGGTAAATCTGACTTAAATTCAAATTGGAATAAAGTCATTTCAAATATCAAATGTTCTCTAAATTCAGCAATAGAATAAGTTTGATTATAATTGATTAAGTTTTAAGAATGCCACACAGCAATGAAATATTTTATATAAAATATATGAACCAAATTTTTTGACAAATATGTAGATTCTTTTTGGCACACCGTCATATGAGTTCATTTAAATAAAGTAATAAAATCATTCATTTGTATATACTTTTTCGAATATAGCACAGAAGAGTGTTTATGAACTCATGAATTATTATTCAATTTCATAATGTCCGTTCAAAATTTTGCAAAAGAATTAAAATATAAGCAATATATAGGAAATGAAAAGCATAATAAAAAATATGAGAAGAACCTATAGAGGTTTTAAAGGTTCCACAAATACTTGAAAATTTTCAAAGAAAATTGCATCTATAGAAAACAATTTTATAATTATGTAGAGAACAAAACAAAAACGTAAATATAAAATACAAAAGCAAAAGCAACGATAATTAAGCTGACATAGAATTTTTAAGATTTTAAATAAAAATTATTAGATAACAAATAAGTATTGAGGGTTGTTTTGAAATATAGGGATGTTGTGAGAAATTACTTGAATGGTAATGAAAAAAAAATAGAATAAGAATAAGTTCTACAGAGATTTTTACTTATATCACAAAGATATGTATGAGTATAAGATTAGGTACAAATAAAACTATAATATATGTATATATACAAATAGATTTTTTAAGCTAATTTTATCGGTGATCTTCGTCATAGGCCCTCAAATCATATACTCGTCATAACATACTGCAAATAATGACAAATTGTTAAACTGCCATTCCTTGTTAATTGTGGTTTAAGTAATATATAACGAGCCCATGAGGTAAAAATAAAAAAAATTATTAGTTACCAAACAAGAATTGCCAATTGTAAAATACGTATAAGATTGTATAGCTAGAATCAGATTAGTTCTAATTTAAAAGAAATTTTGTCATGCTCTTATCGTAGTTTAGTTCAAAGTTCTGTGGTACGCGCTTAGCTTAGCTTACTTCATAATGATTCTTTTTCCGTGTTTAGTTGTAAATTATTGACGTTTAAAAATTATTTTTAAACACTTGAAATATCAAAATAAAAATAGTAATTAATTTTTATTTAAAAAAAAATGATGACTTGAATAAAAGGTTTTAAAAAGTTTAAAATAAATTTTATATTGAGCTTTTGAAATTCATGGTTCTATCTGTTAAGTAAATGATTTATTTTTAGAAATTCATTAATTTTCATAATTTTTTTATGTTGCTCTTGCAAGTAAATCTATTGAATTTTATTTTATTATACAATTTTAAAATTTTTAAATTCATTTATAAGCTTTGGTATTATTGTTTCCTGTATTATTTTTGTTTATATTTAGATAATTATTCAATTGTTTCATCATTATAATTTAATTGAATAATTTAAAATAATAAGGTACAATCTTATAATTTTAAAGGCAGCGCGCTTCGAGTCATTCTTAATATGAAATCATACAGCTGAATCGTATTTTATGTTCTGAAGATTATTATTATTATTTGACGCACTTTTTAGTCTTCTCTTTTAAAGAGGACAGTGACTCTCATATTCCTGCATAACACACCGAAGGTGATATCATTTCCATACTCAAAATATCCCCCTCTCCTACCAAATAACACACAAATAACTTTGTTGGAATGGAACATGCGTGTTGGACCTTATAATGAAAAAAAAGATCCAAAATTGCAAGCTATCAGCTATGGAAGAACAAACGCAGTCCTACTTCTCCTTAATAAAAATATTTTATAATTTTCAATTAAAACATAAATGAATTCCCAAATTTATTGAAGCATAATTATATTTATGTAATTTCCTTATTCTTTACAGTCAACTTGCACATAATCACATAAATTAGGCTTGGAAGCGCATAACTGCTTTGAATACATTAAATTATAATTTTGACTTACCTTAAACGTTTTCTCAATTCATCACGAAATTTTTTCTCAGCATTCAATTTTCTCAAAATTTCATTATAGTTTATTAAATTTTCGTTATAGTTAATATTCTCGTGCGAAAAGATGCCACTGTCAAAACTATTTTTATCACTTTCAAACTGTATTTCATTATTTTCACTCATATTTCAAAATATTCTCTGTTTTTTTTTATTTGCCTTATTTTTGAATTTCTCAATACATACATACACTTACTATATTTTGTTGAAAATTTTTATTTTAATATTACAAAAATTAATTTAAATTAATATTAATTAATTATTTAAATATACAATGTGGCAATGTGTGTATGTAAATATGAAAGATATAGCATATAAAATTTTATTAATAAATTTTGGATATTTATTGTGAACTTATAACTGCGCTCTACTATTAATCACAAAAAGTTTCAACGTCGTAACTGATATGATTGTTAAGAGTAAAAATTTTATGATAAAATGACAAAAGATACATCCCCATAATTATAAAAAGGTAGATATAGTAATAAGAAAGAGAAAAAAAAGACAAAACAATAGAAAACATTTTGATTACAATTTTCCTATAATAAAGCTTATCGAATCTACAGTTATTCGCCATATTATTGTGTTGATATAAAATATTATATTGAGTGAAATGAAAAAGTTAAGTAACAGCCTCATTACGTACTGTTTTCTTTTAAATCCGACTCAGTCTGTGATTCCGAATCTAACTCCAAATACGACCTAGAATACGATACGTACACCAATTCAGACTTCGATTACGATTTTGACCCCGAATCTCGAATCAGATTTATACCCCAACTCGGACGTCGATTACAATTCTGACTTAGACTCCGATTCCGAATACGACCTGAAATATGATACGTTCTTCAAATACGATTTTAATTACGACTCTAATTCCGACTCTGCCTGTGAATCTGATTTCGACTCTGGCTCCGAATACGATAGCTACAGATTTATACGTCATATTTATATTCCGTCTTCCTCCCATTGTATCTGTTCAATAGATTGAATTAAAGTATTTAACGAAAAGAATTTCAAAAGTTCCCTCATATAGAATTCGCCTTCCTTGTTTGAGTATATTTTAATTTTTATATACATAAAAATATATCGCATAAAATGGATTGATAACTGTATATAAAATTAATTTGAAAGAATTGTTATTATCATATATCTAAAAATACTCCTCAAACATAAGAAAAACTTTACATACAGTACCTATACAAACATACATGTGTATATAATTTAAGGTAAAATATATATATTTCTGCATACACATTCATATTCGAATACAAAATCATCATTCAAACATTAGAAACACATTGAAAGGGTGTATTATGGAATATTTTTCCGTATGAACTCACTTCATAACGTATATATACATATATACATAGGTGTATCAGTATGCCTACCTGAAAAAACGCAAATAACGATTCCTCCCGAAATATTCTTAGCATAAATATAGAAAATTAAGCTATTGAAAAAAAAAACAAATGTTTTTGAGCTTAGTACTCAGCTTAGACGATTTTTTTTCGTCTTATGCATTTTAAATTAATGGTAAATTTATATTCACGTAAATACATAGTAAATAATTTACAAAAAGTCTTACAGTGCTTATTAAATAAATTTAATTTGTATATTTTTTTAGATAAATTGACCCTTCGTTTAAAAATATGTAAATAATTCGGGTTTTATTTTATTGCTAGTCGGCAATAGGAAATGCGTGAGTAAAATATATTCATGTATTGTAATTTCAAGCTGGGACATAGCACATCTTCGTTTGTCATGAGGTGGATGTATATAATATAATGGGTATGGCGTTTATGACATGGCGTTACGAAGCAATAACTTTGAGGAATAGAATCACTCTTTATAACTGAAAAAGTTTGCGTAAACTGGCGTATATCTGCATTACATGTCTAAATGGAGAAGTTGCAGTGATTTATATAATTGCACTCAATAGATAGTATTAGAACTGCAGTTGTTGTGATATTGATGTTACAAGTAATGTATAGCGGAACATCGTGTTCTTATGTCCAGGAAAAGGATGATTTCACACAAGCAGCGCTCAAATGATTGTCTACTCACGAACTTTATAGTTTATAGGTAAGGCTTTGGAGGAACAAGTTATTAAGTTACCCGATTGAACTATATACCGTAAATTTGTATACCACGGATCCGAACCGATAGGATAAAAGCGATTTTTGAATGCAATAGTTGAAAAATCAAATACATATTATGTAGTTATATTTTATTAACAATCACTGTACTTTTGCACATCTGTATTTTTAGTGTTATAATTTTGTTAGAAAATATTCTTATTATTTTGTTATTTATTTAATGAAGTTTTCTTCACATACGATTATACTATATGCACACATGTAAAAAATGTTATTGTTCATTACAATTCATTTGTTAATTAGGCAACTTTTTTTTAATTTTTTTTTCACAAAATAAACACTCGTATCTTTTTTATTCTTTAGTATTTATTTAATGATAAAAAACAAAAATTTTCATAATTTTTTATTTTTCGGCATTTTAAATATTGTATGATTAAAATAATAACGATGTAGTCGCGACCTCTTTAATATTTTATGTTTATTATTATGCTTTTGCTTTACACTGTACTGGAATATAGAACAAAATAAATTTTTTTTTTCGTATTTATTGCTCTGCCTTTTATGAACTTTTATGACAAGTAAAACTAAACTGAAAGTGCAAATGAATCCACACAACTAACAGTATGCAAATAAAATAATTAATAATTATATCAATATCAACATCATAATCATTAGGTTAAGGTAAAACAAAGCTCTAAATTTCAGTAAACTTCATAGAATTTTTTAGTGTTACGATATTGACAATATAACAGAAATGTTTATTTTTTCTCAGACACTTTGTTTTTTTTTTCAGTAAAACTTCTTAAAATATTTTATTTTTTATTTAGTAAATTAAATAATTTCATTGTTAGGTCACGTTCTTCTTCGATTGAGTGTTGGTTTTTGCCAAAGTAAAATGCCATAAACATGAAGTTTGTCAAACTTTTTCTAAACAAAATTATTTTACACAAGTCTCATTCTATACCTATTGTATTTTACTCTCCACGTGACAAGAAAGTGAATAATAATCGTAATATTCAAGTGAGAAAAATATTTCCCGTAAAATGTGTGTGCTTCGCTTTTTCTCATGACATTTAAAAATTTTTGACACACATGTTGTAACTGACAAGTCTAATATAGAAATTAAAAATTTTATTTTATATTTTTAATAAGTATGTAAATCTAAAAATTTATGTGAAGCTAAATTATTTTTTCATTTTCCTAAGTAACTCAATTGCTCAAGCTTCTTCTTTTTAGTTATCAATCACAGGAAATGAGCAGATTTAATTTTAATTAAGCTTCGTAACAGCATACAAACTATTGATGTTTCACTAGACAAAATTGCTACTGATTTTGATAAGTACAAATGAGAACAATAACAAAAGTTATACTCATGGTTCTAACATCAACAGCAATAAGGATTTTATGTTGAGATTTCAGATAATAGGATTTCTAATATGTACTACCTGATAATTTTATGTGTGTTTTAGCATTAAGAGTTTTTTGTATTCTTTGTTTGCTAAAACGAGTCCAACATCAACCACATAGATTTTTGACAATTCAAATAAAGAAAAAATTTTTACAGAGCTGCTCCTGATTTTCCTGAATTATGAATTATTCAAAATAGAAAAAAATAAGTTTTAAACTAAAATGAAAAGCAAGTTAAAAAATAAATAAATTTGAGTAATTGTGTTTGTGTTTCATACAGTCATCCTAAACTTATGCAATTTTAAAAAAATTAAATTTTCTTTTGAAATTTCTAATTTTTAATGTGGCATTAGATTAATTTAAATTTCATTAAAAATAGGATGACATGATCTACCTATTTCTAAGTAATTGTTGTAAATTTTAGTTTTGTGCTTTTCCCTTCACTCGTGTGTTCACATTCTATCTAAATTAATATAAGCCCGTGCACAATAATTTTGAATTTTATATCTTTTTTTTTCATAAATTTCTTTTCTTATAAAGAATTTTTACACAACAAGTGATAATTTATCGAGCATAAATCATAAAATCACAGCAGATTCTTTGATTTTAACATTAAATTGTAAATTAAATCTCTTAAAATCAAATTATTTTTTATTCACCTTACAAATATGCACTGTAAAGCATACAAACATACATATAAGTATATGTGTATGCATTATGAATTTACCAACATACATACATTCATTATATAAATTGTAGCAGAAAAATAAAATAGGGAATATTATAAGTTAAAAATAATGAAAAAAAATAAGTATAGCACAAAGAGAAAAAAATTCTATATGTATACAAAATGTCAAGCATGTTATCCTTAACATCATTAATTTTAATGTTAAATTTTTTTTTTCTTTACGCCCGTTGATACAGAATTACACATAATAAAACACCCCTTGTATGTGAATGTTACATATACATATATACATGAATGTTCAAATAACTAAATATACAAATATTATCTCATAAACATAAACAAACATTATATACAAGCAATATTTGAAAGTTATAGGATCGAGATTTAACATGAAAATAATAATGTAAATAATATTATGTAAAAAATATATGTGACACCAAATCGTTTGGGAAAATACATAATTCTACTATTTTAATTGGCTTGTTTTTGGTTTGCCGTATTCCTACAGAAATATCCTTAAAAACTGTATTCTATAAATTATTTTAAATTAACAAATATTTTTATTTTTTAAGAATATTATAAATCTATCAATACAACATTTAGGCGGTCAGAAAATTATAGCTGAGAAACCGCAAAAGGGCTTGCCGGGTCACTGCAGACTTAGGGGACATCTCAGTCAACTGGGTGTAAAAAATGAGGAGAAGCATAAGGAGACTTCAGCACACCTTCCGGGAGAGTGTGATACTCTGGCTTGTAGAAGAAAGGAAATACTGGATGATTTTGCTCAGAGGAGGAGCACAATAGATCTTTATACGTGGTTACGGCTCACTGTTACCCCGCTTGTATAAATCTATAATCTACAATACGACATTTTATAAAATTAACGCTAGCATAAATATTATTTGATTGATTATAAAACCCTCATGTTAGAAACACATTTATTGGTG